TGAACAAACAGTAAAAGAAAATTATAGACAGAAGGTGGTGGCTACACACCACAGTTATAACCCGGTGAGTTCCGGAAGTCAGAACTGTGACCTGCTGCCTTTCCTTTCAAGAGTGAGCCACCCTGACATATAGCGAGGTGCACACTAGAGGTGGAAAACCCCAACATTGGAACTCCAAGTTAAGTTTTCTAGGTTTGGGGGTTTCAAGGCATCTCTAGAAGTGAAATAAAGTACAATGCAGATACTGGTGGGTGCCAAATTTTAACTTTTGCTATCAGTTTACCTTTCCTTTGGTGGCTATATTAGTTTAGGACAGGAAACGTGTTACTGGCAGGATCACCAGGTGAAATAAGGGGAGAAAAGTAATGCACCCACCACATCTAATGGCTGGTAAGCTGCAATATATACAATTTTTGATTCAGGAGTTTAGATACACATTAATAACCACTCAACAAGAGGGTAAGGCTGTATTTGCAGGAAATGTGGGTTCTATGATAGGCATATGGTGCTGAATACCCCAAAGTCAGAAACAGAATCCACCAGATGCCATCTACCAGAAAGGAAAAAACAGATTTGGTGGGACAGATGCCAAAGGCTGAAGAGTGTTAATAGACGTTTGAGGACACTTGAACATCCAGACCTATTCCCAGCATCCTTAGAGTTTTCTTTCCACAGGTTTTCTCATACACATGAATTATTGATTCTCCCAGGCCCAGAAAGTTTATGTAAATTAGGTAAGGAGCACATCCAGACACCTCCATCAATGAATTATCTTGGGAACAACACTGGCTATCAAGAAGGACTTTTTAAAGTATATCTGATTGCTGTTACCCTCAAAATCAATCAACTTTGAATTTCGGCTTTTAGACACAGACATCAGAAGTTTACAGTTTTTATTAGTCTTTATTCTAATATAAATCCTTATTTTTTGCAATTTTCTTATTGATAATTTTAAATAACTAGGGATGCAAAAATGAGGATTAATGGTCTAGTTATAACCTGGCTTAATTCCTTAAGTACCTTGGGGTGCAGGTTATCCGGACCCACTGCTTTGTTTGCATTGAGCATTTTAAGTCTTTGTTGTATCCCGGTTTCTGTCAACCACTGGGGTATATTTTGAGTTAAACTGGGAGTTTTATCATGTGTATCAAACCCGTTTCCCTCCCGAGTGTATACTGAGGAGAAAAAAGCGTTCAGCGCCTCGGCCCTCTCCTTGTCGTTTGTGACTAGCTTCCCGCTTCCATCCTTTATTGGGCCTATCTGCTCCTTTCTCACCTTTTTACTGTTAATATATTGGTAAAATGTACCTATAGCTGGCTAAATGCTATGTATGGCACTACTGCCACTAGATGACACTGAGAAGCATAGTACAATAAACTCTCAGTTATCCGGTATTCAACTAACCAGAACTCTTGTCTAACCAGAAAAAGAAATTCCCTGTGTAGTCACTGTTTTGCTGATCTGCGGCATGTATTATCCTGGAAATGATCGTGTGTCTATTTGTCTTAATTTGCTTTTGATTTCTGCATTTCAATGTTATTATGAAGTCAATACAGAGTTTATATTATGGTATGGGGTATGGCATTAGTTAGACTTATTTCTTATAGTAACTCTCAAGCAACCAGAAACTACATTTATCCGTAACCTACCAATCCCAGTGGATACCGTATAATAGGGAGTTAACTGTAATTTCCTAAGCTTCTTGGCTCCATCTAGTGATGGTAGTGGTAATGTAAAAAGGAAGTTGCCCATTAGAACTACCACCACTAGATGGAGCCAGGAAGCTTAGGAAATTACAGTTAACTCCCTGTTTTTATGAAGATTTTACACAGATTTTACACAGCGTCCCAATTGTCTCAATTGTTTGTACACTAAGGGGCTGGGCAGAATATTCATAAATCAGCCCCTTAGTGTACAACCCCGATTCCCAAAAAATTGGGACGCTGTGTAAACTCTTCACAAAACAGAATTAAATGATTTGCAATCCTCATAAACCAATATTTTTTTCTCCATAGAAAATAGAAAACATATCAAATGTTTAAACTGAGAAATTGTACCATTTTAAGAATCAAAATTTTGAAATTGATGGCGGCAATACAGCTGCTTGATTTTGCTATTCTCAAACTATAAGCCACTACATTGCTTTTTACCCCTACTGTGGCTGCAGTTTTTCACCATTAGAGGGCCTCATGTACCACATACCATGTATTTACCATGAGTGCACTCTGAGTATTATGTGGAAATAAAAGTCTTAAATACCCATACACACCAGGCCTTAAAGCATCAAAGGTAAAAAATATAAGATTTTGTCTAATAGCAAGCAATAGCAGTTATATCTGCTCTAACAAATATTGGTGGAGACTAAAATGCGGGTTCCTGTTAGTTGTCAAGAACAATACTGGCAGTTCTTCTCATAGAATTTTTGACAGAAGACACCACAGATGGTTGCGCACTGACTAACCTTAAATGGCTGATCAGCCTTTCAGGCCTGATTCTTACATACTCCCATCAGTATTGGAGATTCACATGTTATTTAGGAAATATTGAGGTTGGAGTTTTAAATAAGGTTATTGTTGATTAAAAAGAAAACATATACTTCATGATTCCTTTACAAAAGTTTTCTATTCTGCTCTGTTTGAAACTGCATTTAAGCTCCTGAAATCTGTCTTGGGTTAGACCAAATTCTCCAGTTTGCAGCCTTTGCCAAGCTCAGGTCATGTCTCACCCCATCTCAACAGGCAGTTTTACTCCATGATGGAGGACTGGCTGATACATTTCCAAATGTTAATGTAGCTCTTAGAAAATATTTGGTCTATTGGGAGAGATCATTCACCAAATTGACACTGATAAAGAATTATCTGAGTACCATGATGACACATGAAAGTCTAAGTGATTGGTACCTACTGGATGTAGAGTGCAGTTTTCTAATAATGCTGTAGTTTGAGTGTAGAAAGAAAGACTTTCTGTAGATATTGTAGTGTTATGCATATACTGTAGCTAGACGTCAGTAAACCTTACTGTACATAGTCTAGATCAGGGGTGCCCATTAGGTAGATCGTAATCTACCAGGAGCTCACAAAGCAGATGCTGGTAGATCATGAAGGGTGTGAATGGTGGCCCCTTTATTCCATTTTGGTTTATTTATTTAGCTGTGCACTCATGATTACCTATTAGCCTGAGTCTGCTGAGCCAAGCTCCCTGACACCTTTCTGGTGGATACTGGTGGTTGAAGTGCTATGTATTACATCAAAGAATATCAGTTTACACAGCCTGTTGCAAAATACAGCAAGGTGAGCCAGGAGAGAGAGTGGGGAGAGACTGACGGGAGAGAGCGAGTCGAGACAGCCAGGGGAGAGAGCAAGGAGAGAGCCAGGAAAGAGAGAGGAGAGACAGCCAGGGGAGAGAGCAAGGAGAGACAGCCAGGGGAGAGAGCAAGGAGAGACTGCCAGGGGAGAGAGCAAGGAGAGACAGCCAGGAAAGCAAGAGAGGAGAGACAGCCAGGAAAGCAAGAGAGGAGAGACAGCCAGGAGAGAGGGCAAGGAGAGACAACCAAGAGAGCGAAGAGAGACAGCTAGGAGAGAAAATGACAAATGACAAAATGAAGAATGGCAGCCAGGAGAGAGAGGAGACACAGCCAGGAGGATGAGCAAGGAGAGAGAGCAATGGGAGACAGCCAGGAGAGCAAGGAGAGACAGCATAGAGAGAGCGATGGAGGTTTTCTTTGTTGGTAAATCTCATGTAGCTCACCATTTGAAGAGTAGATCTTAACCAGTGGCATAACAATCACCATAGCGACCCAGGCGGCCGCTATGGGGCCCGAGGCACGGCGGGGCCCGGCCAGGACATCTCCCTGATGCCATGCGGGCCGCCTGGGTCGCTATGGCATCTTGCTCGGACAGCCAGGCTGCTGGCTGTCATTAGGTGGGCTGTTTGGGTTATCAGGTGGGCGTAACTAGAAATCACAGGGCCCCATACAAAATTTTGCTATGGGGCCCTGTGATTTCTAGTTACGCCCCTGATCCTAACACAAAAATTGTAAGCACCCCTGGTCTAGATAAACCTAAATATTTTGCACTGATAGATTCAGAGTTGAATTTGTTGTGTACATAATTCAGCCATTGTTCTCTATGGAAAATAACAGCATTGACCTATTTGGAGTTTTGCTGGCATGTATTTAAAAGGAATTTACTTCAGATACCAATGTAACTCTAACAATGTATTTTTTATATTGATATGCAATAAACATATTTTAGTTTTAGTGTGTAAAATTGGTCATTTTAATTCCTGTGTATGAGGGTCCCATGGAACCTGAAGTGCCTTGGGCCACCCCAAGGTCTAAATTCAGCCCTAAATTCGAACGCTTTGGGGACTTTAAGTTGGATTTACCCCATTTCATTTTTGAGTAATATTTCCCAGGGAAACATTTAAATCACATTGGACTCCCCTGGTTTAAATATCTTGGAAGAAAAGTCTACTAATTTTTTTTTTTGGGCAGAATGCTGTTGTTTCTACTGGGGATACCGGCCATGCAGTTTGTATATGGCTGAATGCATGTCTGGTCAACACATGGGGGAAAATGTTCTTTTGGTTAAAGTTTATCTGACTATTGTCTAATGTCTGTTGCTTTATTTTGGAGAGCAAATGCATGCACCATAGTTTACACACAGGATATTAAGATATTAAGATAAATATGAATCAGAAGCAGGGCCCAGTATTTATTTATCATAAAAAAGGAAAAGTATACAATTAACACCAAATAGTTTGTTCACACTGACAAACAAAAACTTTAGCCATGTGCCTAGTTTACATGCACAAAAAAATATATGAAACTTTATACACATTCTAAAAACTAACAGTAACTTTAAAGTTATTTTAAACAGTAATCGTCGCTAAACTTCCTACATGAACATTAACTACTGTTTCTTTTATTTTAGGACTGGTTGAAAGCTTTGCATCATGAACTTTTTGTGCCTTTAAAGCTTTCAAGAACCTGACTTGCTCACCAAACCTGCTGTCACCAAACCTTAGAATGGGTAGCACCACCATCCTTCCCCGTGGTGCACTGGCCATGGGGGTGGCGCGGGCCATCCGTCGCTTTAGCACAGATATCCCGGACCCACTGAGAGAGGAAGAAGAATCAGAGCTGACACAGGGCATGAAACCAACTGCCTATCGCAATGGGAAGGTACACACAAGGCCTATTCGTCAGCGTACCCGCTTTGTACAAAAAGACGGTCACTGCAATGTAGAATTTATTAACCTCAGTGAAAAGAGCCAACGCTACTTGACTGATCTTTTTACCACATGTGTAGACATACGTTGGAGGTGGATGTTCCTTATATTCTCCTTTACTTTTGTGGTTTCTTGGCTTATTTTTGGTTTCTCTTTCTGGCTTATTGCCTCATTGCATGGGGACTTAGCACCACCACCTGAGCCTGGCTCAGAGGAAACCCCGCTCCCTCCTTGCTTCTTACAAGTCACCAGCTTCATGGCCGCCTTCCTTTTCTCTTTAGAAACTCAAACTTCCATTGGATATGGATTCAGAAGTGTGACAGAAGAGTGCCCATTAGCAGTGTTGACTGTGGTGCTGCAGTGCATTGTGGGCTGCATTATTGATGCCTTCATCATTGGAGCCATCATGGCAAAAATTGCCAAACCCAAAAAGAGGAATGAAACTCTTGTGTTCACAGAAAATGCAGTGATTGCTTTAAGAGATGGAAAACTGTGTCTTATGTGGAGAGTGGCTAACCTGCGCAAGAGCCATCTAGTGGAGGCCCACGTAAGAGCTCAGTTCCTGCAGGTAAGCAGCAGTATCACCAGTCATATCAGCGGTTCAAAAACAAATGCTAAAACAAATTCAGCAAAGCAATAAAAAGGTTCACAAAAGTTAGAAGACCACAAAATGGGATTCACCAGTTTTATTTTCTGTAGGTGTAAAGATAAGAGATACCCCTTAAAATAAACATAAGTGGACTGGACATAAAAAGGACACAGGACAAACTGCAGTTATGTACATAAACACATAGAGGTCTATTTATAAACAATTTGCAGAGCCATTTGCCATCAATTCTCTGTGAATGTTCAATATGTTAAAGTTGAATGTAATATTTCAAGTTGAATGTAATATTAGAAAAATACCACATTATGGCCTCTAGATGCAGCTGAGGAGCATAAGAATAAAGTATTTATTTTCTATGCTCCTCAGTGCCATCTAGTGACCATAATCCGGAATTTTCCTAATATTACATTCAACATGAAATGAAAATATGCTAAGAATATTCATTTATGCCTCCATTAGCACAGAACAAATGTTCACAGAGATTCGCTGAGCAAATGGCACTGCAGATTGTTTAGAAATACATCCCATAGTAACCACTTCAAAATCAGCTTTCATAGGACTGTGCAAAATGTATTCTAACTGGATACTGTGAATCACTGCACATTATTTTTTTCTTCTTGAATTATTAAAGGGCCTCTATCACAAAGCACAACATATATGTGTGAAGGTGCTGATAGAAAAAGCAATTTCAAATGAATTTGTTCCTGGCACCAGTAGTCAGGAGTGCTGGTAGTTTTCTTCATGGGCATTCCTGCACAGAGGGGAAGTGAAGAAATAAAAAACAAAATATCTAATACACTAAAGCACCTCCCTAACACCTAACTCATGCTTACCGGAATGCTTAACACAACTTTCACCCAAGATTCACACATTTTATAAATGGGTGAAAGTTGTGAGGATCTTGTGTAAAAATGTTTTACATTTTTTTAATATACCCCTTAAAGTGTATCTATAGCCAATTTTTGTTAGGTTTGGATAGGGTGGGGAAGGACTAGATTTCCTGTCAGAGTTCCATTTTAGAGATTCCTTCATTTCCTGTCTGCTAAAAAGGTGGTCCCAGGACAGGACGTGAGGTGAAATCTCTCTAACAACAATACAAACAGAAGTATTTTTTTTAAGGAGAAATCCTAGAACATGTCTAAACGTTTTATTGTTGTCTGTTTCCCTGTTGTAGATTTTCCTTCACTTCCTGTCTAGTAAAAGGTTGTCCCCAGAACAGAAAGTGAGGAAGACTCTCTCTAATTGAGCCCCAGATAGCAATAAAACCTAACAGGGCATGTACATTTTCTCCATTCTATCCAAAACTATATAAAAAAAGTTTGGGGTATAGATGCACTTTAACACACACACACACACACACACACACACACACACACACAATGCTTACCTGCTGATAAACATATCCTCTAAGCCTACAACACAAACCTAACCCAGACACTAAGCAATAACACTAATTCATCCTTATTCTAAGATACTGACTTGACCTCTGTACCAATAGCATGCAGATCCTGTGCTGAAAGCAATCTGGGTCAAGATACCAGCACCAGGATGACCGGCTTTAGCAATTCCCCAACTCATATTTTTATATACTAGGTCTGGCCCAGTAAAGCTAAAATATTCACAGCGTTACTGCTAGCTTGTGTCAGATGATTGTTGATATAGTCAGAGAGCTGTGATTAGTCAGGAAGCAAAGAGGAACAGCTTCAGGGGATTGATCTTACAGAAGATGAGGAAGCCCACAGGAGTGAAGAATAAGGTACGTATTTCACCTTATTCCCATCCCCTAGACACAATGAGCATTTAACCCTTGCTGTGTGGAGGGAGATTTCTTCCATTCTGGACATCAGCTTTAATGCATGTTTATGTAGCATTAACTAGTAACTCTCCTATTATCATTCCCCTCTAAAGTTAGTGGGGACAGATTAAATCTACTCCATGCAGCCTATGGGATGTGTTCAGCTGGGTAATTTTTCAGATTGCATTTTCTTTTCATTGGAGACCATTGCTTTTCTAAACTAAGTTGTTCAGAGGCAGACTGCATGGGGGAATCTAACATACCAAGGGGTCTATTCACTAAGCTGCCGAGGGCAGCCGAGTGAATGACCGATCTAAAGTGAAGTGAGCCGAACACTGACTTCAGCCGTACATCCGCTGAAATCAGCCGTACATCGGCTTGCTTTGCGTGGCTTCGGGTCGGCCGAACATGCTCAGCATGTTCGGCC